TCAATTATTAAATTAAAGTAACTTAATATAAGCTGACATTAATATAATATAATATCAACTTAGACCTCAATATTATGATATATTATTTTATTTTATGTTACTTTATTTAAAAAAGAAACAATAAAATCCATTTATAATCAATTATTAAAGTTATGTAATAAACTATAATAAAAATAACACTAATTGTATTTAATTTATAACAAAATTATACAATAGAATGCACTTATAATCAATTATTAAGTCTAAATTAAATTTAAACAGTTCATAGTTATTATAAAGTATAAAAAATAAAATATATAAAATATATTTATTTATTTTATTTATAAAAAATAACATTAAATTGCATTTAATTAATTGTCAAATTAAAATTAAATTAATAGAAGTTTATAATATAATATATAATATAATACAAAGCTTAACTTATACCTCTTTATTGTACCACAAAATAAAAATATACAATTTATTTCCTATTTATTTTATGTTAATTCATTCATAATAAACATTAAATGTATTTATAATTGATTATAAAATTTAAATTAAATTAATAGAGTTTTATAACATCACAATACAATACTTAACTCATATATCATAAAATATTCAATTTTAATTTAATTTATTTTAATTGAAATATTTTTTTATATTTTTATTTAATTTATTAAAATTTTATTAAATTTACAATTTTTGGTATTTAATTTATTTTACTTTTTGTTACATTTATTTCAATTTATTTTATCATAATTTTAGTTTAGTTCAGTAGAGTGACAGCCTGCTTAAATAAGGAGCATTCTCCATATTTCATTGCACAGTACAAAACATTATTAAGAGTATAGCATCATTTCAAACAACAATTTAAAAACTAAAATGAAATGCAAATAAAAGATAATTTTTGCTAATTTTGGCATAAAAATCCCCTACTGGCATACTAACAACAAAAGCACCGTAATACTGTGGTAACTGCAGTTATTGGAATTACAATAAAATGCAGAATAGACAGCAGAAAATTCAAGAAAAACCCCCTAAACTAAAACTAACACACAAGCAAAACAAAGAGCGAGAGAGGTCAAAGCAACACTGCTCCCTCTCACTGAGGTTTCTGGATAACCAATCAACCAGTAAATCTGTGAAACACACACACACACACACACACACACACACACACACACACACACACACACACACACACACACACACATAACGAGGTGTAATGGAGGTCATCATTATGCTTTGACCTTTGACTCTTCTGCCAATTTGTACTAGGCTGACCTTTAGCCTATATCAAGCTCGTCCAAATGAAGCTGAAGTAAAACAAAAACTTTTACAGCAAAGAAAAATACAAGCATGTAACCTCTGGTAAATTTGGCTGTGACTTGTATTATACAGCACCACCCTAGACAATATTTCACTTTAAACTATTAAAAAAGGTTATTAAAAGTTACTTTTTTTACTTTTCAAGGTTAAACGTTTTTGAAAAAAAAATAAAAAAAAAATCAACATCCCATAATGCAATTTAAATGCAGAAATAAACAGAATTAAAATTAAAGAAAAAAACATGAATCACAAAATACGGAAAACTGATAATTTATCAATATACAATAATATCGATAAATAAGTATTGAACACGTCACCATTTTTTTGTTAGAAAACATATTTCTAAAGGTGCTGTTGACTTGGAATTTTCACCGGATGTTGATAACAAAAAAATAAAAAATAAATAAATACAAAATTTAAAAATCACAATATGCAAAGAAAACAAATCTAATTAGATTACAAACAAAGTTAGGTGTAAAGAATTAAATGACGCAGATAAAAAGTATTGAACACATGAAGAAAGGGAAGTGTAGAAAGGCAGTGAAAGACCAGACAGCAGCTGAAATCTCTAATTCCTCATTCACTCTGTCGCTGCCTGTCGCTCTGGGTGGCGACCTGCAGCAAACGCAGGTCTGTGCAGGTCTACAGCACAGAGATTACAACCGGCCTCTGAACGAGCTGAGAAAGGATCACGTGAGCTCTACTGGTGCTCCAATTGGCTGTTGCTCAAGAAAGTCACTCTTCATTTGCATAAAGTTGAAGGATTCTCAGCTTTGACACATAACTCAATATGCCCACCTGGTCGCCAACGGCCGATGTTGCTCGCGTTGACGAATGTCGCCGGAAGTCGATCTCTCTCTATTGAAATGAATGGTCGATTGTCGCTTTGCCGCTGCGAGTCACTCGTAGTGTGAATGAGGCTTAAGAAGTTCTTCAGCAACCCTCTGTGCTTCATCAGTGTAAATGAATATCAGCTGCTTCAGTCCAACATCTACATTAGCAGGAGGATGAAGATGAACCCAGGGTGGACATTCAGCAAAACAAAGATCCAAAACACAGCCAAGGAAACTCTCAAATGCTTTCAGAGAAAGAAAATCTGTAGAATGGCCCAGCATATCTTGAATCAAACATAAAATTTAAAAAAAAGCTCAGATTTGATAGAAAAGACCCACAGAACCGTCAAGATTTTCACTCTGTTGAAGTCTGTAAGAAACTCACACCTGAGCAATGCAGGTGACTTCATTCTCCATATGAGAGGCGTCTTTGCTGCCATCACCTACAAAGCCTTTTGCATAAAGTATTAAAAACATTTCAGTAGCTTCAGTTATTACACTCATTTTTCAGTTTTTTTTTTGTTTGTATTGTTTGGGTTTTTACCCAAATCTTGTTCAACTCCATGTCAACAGCTCCTTTAGAGATAAAATTCCCAGGAAAAAACATGACATGTTCAATACTTATTTTCCCCACACTCTCAGAAATAAAGCTACAGGAGCTGTCCCCGGACCTTTTCAAAAGGTATATATTTATACCTGAAGGGTCCATAATGGCCAGTTTTTACTGAGTGGTACAGTACATTATGGTTCGGTTTAGTTCGGTACCACTTTTTGGTTACCCTTTGCAAAGGGTACCAAGCAGGCCAAAGAGTACCCTAAGGCAGAGCAAGACCCGCAGCTGAACGCTATTGGTTTACAGACACACGTCACACGCAGAAGCGGGAGAATGAAAACAAAGGAGCCGCCATGTTTTAAATACACAGCCGAGACATTACACCGTAATTATACATATCATAACCAGCCAAGGTCGACCCGAGCTCAAAAAAAAACCTTGTCGTTGTCTTGATGAACAGCCACAAATCCAAGAAAAAGAGCTGATTCTACCCTGTGCCCTGTAGTTTTTTACGAGCCCGTCTAAAGCGAGAGTGGTTTTGCCTTCTTGCATGTGCTCACGTGCGTGTCTATATCTGAAATAAACTTCTTGAGCTGATAATAACATGTGCATGATTATTAAAGTGCTTCCGACATCCGTTTCCGACAAACGCCATAGTGAAGAGTGAAAAAAACAAAGGAGAAGCCCGACAAAACACAGGAGCAAATTGTTTCAGCATCCTGAATCATGAACAAACTACCATATTTATCATCGCCTTTTGGTTGAAGTTCTGCACAAGACTTTTGGCCAGCGGAGAAATTAAAATGGTCGTGCCCAACTGAGTCTGGTTCTCTCAAGGTTTTTTTTCTTCACTCCCATCAGGTGAAGTTTTTTTTCCCTCTCCGCTGTCGCCACTGCCTCGCATGGTTCAGGATTGGTAGAGCTACGCATCGATGAATTTGCTCTTCAGTGTTTGAACTCTCAGTAATGATTAAATCACACTGAACTGAGCTAAACTGAACTGAACTTAAACACTAAAACCTGAACCACACTGTTCCAGTTACTATGACCATTTATGTGAAGCTGCTTTGACACAATCTACATTGTAAAAGCGCTATACAAATAAAGCTGAATTGAATTGAATTGAATTGGGCTATTATGAACTCTGAAATGAAGGAATTAATTTCTAACTAAGGTCACATGTTCTGGTGAAGATTACAGACACAGATGAGAGGCCTGCACTGACTGTAGGCTATATGTTGTGTGTTGTTTTTTAACCCAAATAAGGACTAAGGGTGCTTTCACATCTGTAGTTCGCTTCATTTGGTCCGGACGAACGCCAATAAATGATACATTGTTGCATTTTCTGCCGTCTTTGGGTCGCTTTCACACCACACTGCTGGCTTTGGTCCGAACCAATTGAAACGAACCAAAATGCAGTCATCTGACAAAATCCACATCTCTCATTGGTCAGATGTTGTTAAACATATTTCCTAAACTGCTTATTGATTGGTCAGAATTCACATGCGGGAAAATGCCAATGAACTCCCGCACGTAAACAAAACTGGCAGACACAAAATGTTGTTTTTACTCTGGAGGGACGACTGCACTG